TTCGAATCCCAGCACCCACATGGCAGCTAACAACTGTCCTTAACTCCAGTTCCAGGGGATCTGACAGCCTCTTCTGTCTTCCGTGGGCATTGCACGACATGGGTGCACTTACTTATATACAGGCATAACATACACATAAAATAAAAGTAATAAATAAAATATTAAAAAAGGTTGATTCATCTGAAGACTTACTAAGGAGATGGAAGGAATAATTATCCCTCTAATAAGATAATGTTCTTATACATACTGGACTCCACTCCCTTGATGGCAGCTGCTTGTGGATCTTCACTGCTAAGCCTGCCCACTTTTCTAAGTTCTAACTCAAAAAGCATAGCTTTTCCTTTTCTTTTTTATCTCTTTTTCAGATACCAGCCCAAAACCCAAGTATATTTTCCTGGACACTGGGCTTTCTCATTGTTTCTCTGAATACTCCTTACCCCTCCTAAAGCTGTTTGCCAACCTCCATTGTTGACATACCTGATTTCTTGGACCATAACTCCAAAGACATCAATCTATAAAGACCCTATCCCAAATAAACAATTCCAAAAGCCAGATATGGTGGTGCATGCCTGTAATCAGAACACTTGGAGGCTAAAGCAAGAGGATCTGGAGTTGGAGACCATCCTGGATTTATAGCTTGATTTTGTCTCACAAAACAACAAAACCCCTACAATTTCATTTATAATGGCACCACCAACAATAAATCATGCAGGGGACTAGAGAGTTGGCTTAGCAGTTAAGAGCACTTGAGATTTTGCAGAGGATCCTAGTTCAGTTCCCAGCACCCATATGGCAGCTTACAACCATCTCTAACTCCAGTTCTAGGAAATCTGACACCCATTTCTGGCCTCTGTAGGTACTGCACACACGTGGTGCACGTACATGCATCCAGGCAAAACACTTATACACACAAAATAAAAGTAAATAAATCTAAAAAAACCCCTAGAAATACATCTAGCAGAGGAAATATAGAACTTTGTTGACAGAAAACTACTAATTATTGCTAAGAAATATCCCTAGAAATTGACTGACTGATCCTAAAATTTATATACCAAAGCAATTTGAAAAGGGATTTAAATCACCCAATTTCAAAGCTTGCTATAAAATGATGTCAATCAATAATAATTTGTGGTATTGGCATAATAATAGGCAAATGCATCAATGGAACAGAAATGAGAATCCAGAAATAAGTCCTTGTCTTGTTGATTGGCTTCCTTTCTGTGTTTGTTTGACTGACTTCAAACTGACTATGTAGCTGACTGTTTGACTGACCTTGAACTCCTGATCTTCTTGCTTCTACCTCCCAAGTACTGGGTTTACAGATACATGCCACTATGCCCAGCTTGGTCAATAGTTTTCAATAAGGATACCAAGACAATTCACAGAGTAGGGACACTTATTTTTTTTCCCCTTCCAGTAAGTGGTGAAAACAATTTTCATACTCACATGAGGAAGAAGGAAGCTGGAGGAAGGGAGGGAAAGAGGGAAGGAGGGAGGAAAACATGAGGACCTGAGTTGTTACCACCAGCAACCATGTGAAAAACTAGGCATGGCCATGCAGGCTTGTAACTAGCACTGGGAGCTGGAGGAGGGTGAAGATGGGAAGACTGCGGGAGCTTGCTGGCCATCAGCCTAGCCAAAACCCTCTGCAAGCTCCAGGTTCGGTGAGACACCTTATCTCAAGGGAATAGAAAACAAGAGGGAAACACCAGATGTTCCTCCTCTGGTCTCTGCTTGCCCTATGCAGTACACACACATCCCTTTTGGCAAAGCATGGTAGCACATGACTGTAATCTCAGTACTTGGGAGGTGGAGACAGGAGGATTGGAAGCTCAAAGCCAGCCTTGGCTACATAGTGAGTTCAAGGCCAGTTGGGCTATCTACATGACTCTGCCTCAAAAAACTTAAACAAAAGAACAAATCCTCCTACCTATCCATTTTCACTACATTGTGATGATGGCTGATAGTTTCAGGACTGTATATATTTGCTGAAAGCATGTATTCTTAGAAGTGAGGAATTCTGTCCGGGTGTGGTGGTACATGCCTTTACTCCCAGCACTCGGGAGGCAGAGGCAGGTGGATCTCTGAGTTCAAGGCCAGCCTGGTCTCCATAGTGAGTTCCAGGACAGGTGGGGCTACAGGGAGACCCTGTCTCAAAAGGACCAAAATAACAACAACAACAACAACAAAAACATAAGTGAGGTATTCTATGGTTATGAGACCATATCTGGAAAAGGTTTAAAGCTGACAGTATCTTCCCAGGGTGCTTGGCAGCAGCTGGTTAAAGGAGTACATCTCCTCCTCTGGCCTTGGGTAAAGGCTGGCTATGGGGCTTTCTCACCTCAGACTTTCCACCTGGGCTGTGGAGGCACTTGGGTACCAGGCAGTGAGTGACGAGGATGGTAGGGTCTTTAGTGGTGATGGACAGACCCTTCTGCAAAATTTGAACCAGGCGCATCCAGAGCTGGAAGACAGTCTCAGGATGATCAGGGTGGAGCTTTAGGTAGTAAATCTTCTCAGTGACTGTCCTCAACTGCAGGATGCGGTCATGGTGGTCACAGATCTGGAGCTCCACAAACTTCAAAGGAAGAATCCTAAAGGGAAGATATCTGAGCAATTCCATCACTTCTGATGTATCCTTATCTTCATGAAAACAAGTGTGTCTCTTCGAGGATTGGGGCTTTTAGGGGCAGAAAAGAGTATGTTTGGCCAGTGGTGCTCAAACTTGGGGGAAATCAGATCCAATGATTAAGTCTTCACTTAATTAAGATGCAGACTCCTGGGGCTGGAGAGATGGTTCAGTGGCTAAGAACACTGGATGCTCTTACCAAGGACCTGGGTTTGATTCCCAGCACCCACATGGTGGCTAAGAACCATCTGTAACTCCAGTTCCAGGGGAATCTAACACCCACTTCGGACTTCTGCAGGCACTGCACAACACAGGTGCACTTATACACATGCAGACAATACACTCATACGCATAAATAAAATATTAAAGAAAGAAAAAACACTCTTGAGGATGGAAATGGGTTAGTAGTTGGGAAGATAGCCACTCAAAAGCTTCCATTGTATTTTTTTTTTTTTTGGTCTTTTTGAGACAGGGTCTCCCTGTAGCCCCAGCTGTCCTGGAACTCACTATGTAGACCAGGCTGGCCTTGAACTCACAGAGATCTGCCTGCCTCTGCCTCCCAAGTGCTGGGATTAAAGGCGTGCGCCACCACACCCGGCTTCCACTGTATTTTTTGAGGCAGAGTTTCTCACGGAATGTGGAGCTTACAGTTTTGTTTTGTTTTATTTTTGCTAGACTGGCTTGCCAGCAAACCCCCAAGTGGCTTTCCAGCAAACCCCCAAGATCCACCAATGCTCTTCCACTCCCTCTCCCCAGTGCTGGGGTTATAGGTACATGCTACTTTTTAAAAAAAATATTTTATTTATTATATTTAGTGTATGAGTGTATTTTCTGCATGTAGGTAAAATACACCCATGTCATGCAATGCCTGCAGAGGTCAGAAGATCCCCTGGAACTGGAGTTACAGACCATTGTTAGTTGCCATATGGATGCTGGGATTCGAACCCAGGTCTTCTGCAAGAACAACCAGTATTCTTAACTGCTGAGCCATCTCTCCAGCCCTGGTACATGCTACTTTTTACGTGGGTGTTGAAGCTCCCAATTCAGGATCCTCATGCCTACACAGCAAGCCCTTTTCCCCACTGAGTCATCTCCCTAGGACTCACTTGTTCGTGTGTGTGTGTGTGTGTGTGTGTGTGTACATACATATCTAAGGGTACCTGTGCAGGCCACTTTGAGTGTCAATCCTCAGGTGCCATCCACCTCAGTTTTTGAAACAGGCTCTCTCACTAAACCTGGAGATCACTGACTAGGGTAGGCTGGCTGGCTAGCAAGTCCTAAGGATTGCTGTCTCCATCTCCCTTGTGTTGAGACTACACACTGTACCACCACACCCAGCTTTTAAAAAACATGGCATCTGGGAACAGAACACAGGTTCTCATGTTTGCATGCAAGCACTTTACTGACTGAGCTATCTCCACAGTCTCCTACCTGTCTCAGGTTACTCTAGTCTAAAATGATTAGAGGCTGAGAATATTAGTGCATGTTTGTAATCCCAGAACTTGGAAGGTGGATGCTGGAGGATGAGGAGTTCAAGGCTAGCCTTAGCTATGTAGTGAGTTCATGGCCAGCCTGGGTTACATAAGACTTTGTCGCAAAAAACAAACAAATAGGGAATTGGAGAGATGGCTCAGTGTTTAAGAATACTTGCTGTTCTTCCAGATGACTTGGGTTTCATTCCCAGTACTCACATAGTGGCTAATAACTGTCCATAACTCCAGTTCCAGGGGATTCTATACCCTCTCTGGTTTCTTTTGGCATTGCACACATGTGGTGCACTTATATACATGCAGACAAAACACTCATACACATAAGATAAAAATAATAAAAACAAACAATTATTGTCATTGTAACGACGTCTCTATTTTTCCCCATCTTGAGTTCAGTCACAAAGCAGCCTCTACCTTGGTTCTGCCCCAACCCCTCTTATCCCTCATTCCCATTCACGTTGCTTACCTCTTCAGGATGATGCTTGGGGCTGCGGATGGTCTGTTCCATGTCTGGCTCTGCCCCTGATGCCATTTGACTCTAGCCATAAGGAGGATGTTTGGAAGGGGTAGGCAGGGCACAGAGGCAGTCACCCCAAGGGCCATTGTTTTGGTTGCTTTGTAGATTTCTATCCAGTTTCTGCCCCTTTTGACCTGCAATGCAGCCCCCAGGCCCAGCCTGAGTGTTTGGCAGAAACAGCAGGATGTTTTAGCCCAGAGTTTCTCCACTGAGCTGTTAAGACACTTTTTTATTAGAAGCTGTTTTGTATGTTGTGGAATGTTTAGCACTGTCCTTGGCCTCTGCCTCCTAGACTCTAGCAGCAAACTCCCACCCAGATTATGACAAATGAAATGTCCTCAGACATTGCCAAATGCCCATTAACAATGAGGGCTTCATCATTGCTTTTTGACAAGTATTTCAACTTATATTGGTTTAAAAACTCTAGTAGGGTGTATGGATTTTTTTAACAAGTACTTTCAATATTTTATTAACTATTATTATTATTTTTTTATGTGTATGTGTGTATTGCCTGCATGTAGTTAAGTGCACCCATGTCGTGCAATGCCCATGGAGGACAGAAGAGGTCATTGAATCCCCTGGAACTGGAGTTTCAGACAGCTGTTAGCTGCTATGTGGGTGCTGGGAATTGAACCTGGGTCCTCTGAGAGAACAGCCAGTGCTCTTAACCGCTGAGCCATCTCTGCAGCCCCATGGAGAGATGTGGGTTTTTTTTTTTTACTGTGTTTTAGTTTTTTGAAACAGGGTTTCATTCTGTAGCTCAGGCTACATTCATTCTCAAGGGTATCCTCCTGCCTCAGCCTCCTGAGCACTGGGATTACAGGCATGAGCCATCACGTTGGCTTCTCTAACAGAACTTTAAAGGAATTACTGTTAACACAAACAAAAAGAACACTAAGTCAGGAGTTTCTTAGTATCTACTGTCTATGGCTCTTCCCTGGAAAGTTTCCTGGCCTTGCTTTGGAAAAAAATTCATCCTCATGCCCCCCACCCCTGCTTTATCTCCTGCACCTTTGAGTAGGAAGCTCCTTCCCAACACCACAGCTTCCATTTGTTCTAGGTTCTTTCTGGCTCAAGGGGAGTTCAGGCAGAGACAAAAACATACCACAAGACACTTTGCTTGCTGTGCATACATTGAATCCCAACCTGCTTAAAGTGAAGAAAATGGATTCTGGGTGCACAGTTTCCAGACACAATGACACCTCCCCATGAGTGAGCAGAGACTGGCTTCTGAGCCCAGGTCTCTCTGGGTCCCTAGGTCCTGTTCTTCATGAATCAGCATTTCTGTTTCTAACCCTCAAAGATCATCTCTTTTCACTGCCTCAACCCTGGCTTCAGGTGACAAACCCCAAGGTTCCAATGCCTAATCCTCTGATCTGAGAAGAGAATGCCTGGCCATTCTCCCCGTGGCCATACCTACAGGGGAAGCTCTGGTCAGTGGGTGGCCTTGCATCTCGAACCCCTAGCTTTCCTGCCTCAGTTCCCCCTCCAGTTCTAGGGATAACTCTTCTGGTCACGTCTTGGGAACAGTTTAGAAGAATGGAACAGTGCTGTTTGGAGTCACCCAAGAGTACCTGGACAAAGTTACTTTCAAACACTACAGAGTTGGGAAACAGGTTGAATTCTGGAGAATGAACCATCTGGCAGAGTAGTCCTTCCTCCACACCCAGGTCCACTCCAGGGTTTGGCTCCACATCCACAGGCAAGAGGCCCCTGAATTTTTCCCAGGTATTCAAGGAAGGGAAGGTTGGGTATGATCTTATAACTTTTACTGTCTTCTTCGATTTCCACCAAGACTTTCTTGGTGGAACTGATGTCATCACGTCTGCACATGCTCAGGGGCCAGCTGCGCAGCTGTCCTGGGATCTGACTCTTCTCTTCTGACTTGGGGCAGCTGGCCAAGGTCTGGGACAGCCAATCAGCTCACAATGATGAATGGATGACATCACGAAAAACCACAGCAGGCTTGCAGGAAAGAAAAGTGGGGAGGAGAAGCCTCCCTTTTTCTTCTGAGTGCTGTTGATTTTTATGAGCCACATTCCCCAATCCTCTGGGGCCCACATGGAGCACACAGAGCTTGCTAAGAAAGCCTGAGGCAGACAGGAAGCAAGGGCTCCTAGGAAGCTCCCTTTGCTGCCAGAAGCCCTTCCAGCCTCTCAACCCTCCCTTTGTATGTATGTATGTATGTAGGTATGTATGTATATGTGTATGTTACTAGAGATTGAACCCAGTGCCTCACACATGCTATGCAAGCACCTTATCATGGACCAATATGCCCAGCCTTCGTTGTACTTTTTGGAACAGGATTTTACTAAGTTGTCCTGTCAGCCCTTTTATTAAATAAAAAAAAATTTTTTTTTTTTTTTTTGTTTGAGTGTATTGCCTCTGTGTATGTGAGTGTACCTGTGTTGGGCGATGCCCGAAGAGGTCAGAAGAGGGAGTTGGATTCCCCTGGAACTAGAGTTAAAGATGGTTACTAGCTGCCCTGTGGGTGCTGGGAATTGAATCTGGATCTTCTGCAAGAGCAGCCAGTGCTTTTAACCACTAAGCCATCTTTCCAGTCCCCAATCCAGGCAGCCCTTGAACTCACTATTCTATAGCCCATGCAGGCCTTAAACTTCCTATCCTTAATTTCCTGAGTACCTGGGGTTACAGGACTGCAGCATCAGGCCAAACTCCTTTCCTCTTTTGTTTTTTACATTTATTTGTTGATTGATGATTGATATTTCTCTCTCCTCTCTCTCTCTCTCTCTCTCTCTCTCTCTCTCTCTCTCCTCTGTCTCTGAATGTCATGAATGTCATGTGGCATGTGGAGATCAGAGGACAATTTGGATACTGGTTCTTTTTCCATGTGAATCCTGGGGACCAAATTCAGGTCATCAGATTTGATGGCAAGTACGTTGACTCACTGAATCATCTTGCTCTTGAGCCATCTCACTGGCCCCCTTCCTTACTTTGAATACAACCTACCCCAAACAATTTGAAAAACTGCTGTTTATTCAGAACCTCACATGATGTGAGCTCCCCACACCCTGGTTTAACATGTCATTTCCCTACACCCTGGTTTAGCATGACATGAGCTCCCCACACCCTAGCTTAGCATGATGTGAACCCCCCACACCCTGGCTTACGTGCAGAAGCCATTTCTGCTTCTAGGAGTTGCAGAGCTGCTGGCTCCTGCGCTGTGGTTGCTATGGATGGCTACTTGCCATTGAAGGATTTTTTCCCCTTAGAAGGTCAAACTGAAGGAATAGAAGTAATTAGTTTCCTACCCCTAGGCTGACTGTGGGAGGGGACCAGCTGGGAAGAATAGCACCCCACCCTTCTCTCAGAGTGCTAGTGTATCTCCCCAAGAGCCAGAGGGAAAAAAGTCAAATTCTGGGATGATGAGGTCAAGGTCAAAGAATGGAGCTGGCTGGCCACCATCCAAAGTCAATTCAAGGTAAAACAGTATTCTAGTTTGGACAAAGTCCTAAAATTTATTAAACAGTATATCACCATTAAGGTCAAATGTGATAAATTTAGAAAAACAGTTTGACAACTGAATATGCGAAGGACAAGCCTGGGATTGATTTCTGTATTGCATGACAGAGTCAGAGAAGGCCCAGAGATAAGACTTTTGCTCTCTGGTTCCACCTGCTTCCTCTCCCGGCTACCTAGGCCACACTTGCCCAAGCACCTGTTCCAGCTCCCTGGATAGCAATGAAATTTCCAACTCATGCTCCTCATTTTCTTCTGCTTATTATGTGGGGGAAAATGTCCTTCATGGTAAGATTCTCTAAGGATGGGGTCAGAAACCACACCGTGTTTTACATTTCCCCAGAAACAGAAAAGAAGGTACAAAAGTGATGGCCACTAATATGCTGTGTTGCTTCATCACAGTTAACACTTAACCACAGCAACAGAGCCTAACTGGGTTAGATAGAGGGGCTGGATAAATTTAGTCATTGAGATAGCCCAAGTCAACTGGGAAAATGACTTCGCTTTTTTCCATGTAGGGATGCTAATCTCTCTTTGCTTCTGTGGTGTTTCTCAACCATCAGTGGTAGAAGGTATTAGCACCCAGTCTAGAAAGCTAACTGTGAAGAAGCAAGTTTTTGGCTCTAAATAAGATGCTAAGCAGTCGTATACATGTCTACCTTTAAGATGTCTACCCTCCCTCCTTTCCACTACTAATCCTCCAATACCATACCAACCCTTTGAATCATTTTAATAACCATGCCCCAGTATTTCTCCATTTCTTTTAAAAAAATATTTTATTATTTTTATTTTATGTGTACGAGTGTATGTATGTGAGTGCACCTGTGTCGTGCAATGCCGTGGAGGTCAGAAGAGAGCTTTGGATTTCCCTGGAATTGGAGTTAAGGACAGTTCATAGCTACCATGTGGGTACTGGGAATCTAACCCGGGTCCTCTGCAAGAACAGTCAGTGCTCTTAACCACTGAGCCATCTCTCCAGGCCCTCTTCATTTCTTTTTTGTGAACAAAAATTGTTTATAGTTATGAAACGAAAGAAAAAGAGGAAAAAAAACCTCAATATTTTCTTTTTTAAAAAATATTTTATTATTTTTATTTTATGTGCACAAGTGTATTGCCTGCATGTATGTGAATGCACCTGTGTCATGCAATGGGCTTTGGATTCCCCTAGAACTGGAGTTAGGGATGGTTCTTAGCTACCATGTGGGTGCTGGATATCGAACCCAGGTCTTTTGCAAGAGCAGTCAGTGCTCTTAACCACTAAGCCATCTCTCCAGCCCAACCTCAATATTTTAAAAAAGCATTTTCTAAACAAACTTGGTATATCCATTTGATGTCTATTTCTTTTTTAATATCTTTGTGTGTGTGTGTGTGTGTGTGCGCGCGCATGTGTAGGAGGACTACATTATGTAAGTGAACAATGTGAAGGTAAACCCGCAGAGGCCAGAAGAGGGAGTTTGATCTCCTGGAACTGGAGTTCAGATGATTGTTAGCCATCTAGCCACCATGTGGGTGCTGGGAATTGAACCTGGGTCCTCTGAAAGAACAGCAGTGCTTTTCACTGTACAGCCATCTCTCTAGCCCCTGATATCCCTTTTTTTCTTTGTTTTCTTTTTCTTTCTTTCTTTCTTTCTTTCTTTCTTTCTTTCTTTCCAGGCTGGCATCTAAACTGAGGTTCTCAGACTATAACCATA